TGGCCGATGAAGATTCACCACAGATTTACACACTGGTCGGACGCGGAGCTCTCTCAGCCGTTAAAGTACTGCGAAACGGATTGGAAGTGACCGAAATGGCTGTGTCCGAATTGCCCGGTAATCCGAATGCAGTTTGGACAGTTCGACGAAATATTGACGGTATTTTTTTTGTCTTTCAAAAGTATCAGGATTCACCAGATAGCCGGTGCGGGGTTCCCCCGACTGAGAATGTTATTGGGAAGAAAGAACGATTATTCGACGAAAAAAATACGCTGTGGATATTTTTTACTGTGTGAATACACTGTGTGTATTTTTTCGCCGAATAGTTAAAAAAATATACTATGTGTAGTTGATCTGGTGAGTTATAGTAGATGGTGCGTAATCCAAGACAAAAAGTCTAGCAGAATTCCGTTTGATTGCGTAATACCCTCCAACGACATACGGATGCGAAATGTGGTCACTGACAAAAGCAGAATAGCAAACGGTGGCTGTTTCCTTAAAATGTACCTATCTATTTTAGATAAATATGATTCTCACATTGTTGTGTCATTCGTCAATGCAACACTGGTACTGTCGATTGGTGAAACTGTTGAGGAAGTTACTGATTCTGGTTTTCTTGGCACAACGCCAACACTTGGCTGCGCACTTATTGGTGATGATGCATTGCTGCAGGTTACTACTACTCATCTTGATGCTACTTGTGCCTTTATATAGTCAATGCAGAATGATAATGAGCGTAACTGCTGTTACCGAAATGTAGCACCTGGTGATAAGCTGATGATCAGTTTGTTGATGGTAGTCGTGAAATTTGCTCTACACTTTTCTTTCCTAGTGCTTCTGAAAAAGAAAATTGCTACTTTTTTGCTAAATTTTTATTTTAAAAAAAGTGCTAAATTTTGCAAAAAATTGCTATTTTTGCTACTTTTTTTCTCTTGCTACTGTCGTAAAAAAGATTGAGGGTTCGACTGTGTCAGTGAGACAACCTATGTAAAATTTATTTTGATTTAACTTGGTACTGGCATTTATTCACTTGTTATGCTTTTTTCCTGGCCGCCTCCATGAACGCTTTTGTTAGCTGAGATTTATTAGAAATTCGTCCGGTACGATTTTTCATAGGCATTATAATTTTTAAAGTTAAAAATAGGGAATTAATTTCTAAAGCTAAAAAATACCGAATTAATAAAATAGGGAATTAATTTTTTTTTCAGGTTTATCCAGATGGTATTCGTCATATTAGGGCTGATCGTCGAGTGAATGAATGGAAGGCACCGGGGAAGCGTGCAATTGTGAGATGTGCATTGAATCGGAGACAAGTAGCAATCGCGCTTGCTGGCGGTGAAATTGTCTATTTTGAGCTTGACGTGGTAAGTCATTTTTCTATTCGCAC